GGGGGGTGGGGGTGTGTGTTGTTCTTTTGATGACCATGAGAAGTTTCACGTAATCACATTCAGACAAACACCCTTGGTTTGGTTACTTCTGAACACCGCAAAACACAGGAGCACGGACGGGAGGGGTGCTGGGGCTAACCACGGAGGGAAGGCGATGCGCTCTCAGGTTGGAAAACAATCCCCGAAGGCAGCGATGGGAGGGAAGAGATGGGCGTTGATAGACGTCGCGGTTTCCATTTACAAGAGCCCCCGGGACGGGGGACCCCGAGGCCGCGTGCTGGGAGGAGGCTGTAGTGATATCTTTTGGTTGTCGGTGTATTTCAGCTCAATATGATGATAAAAGGGAACAAAGCAGTAAAATACATGACCAGAGAGACACTTTATTTCTAATTCACGAAATAAACTAAGTTGATTCATTTTTTTTCTGTCAAACTGTGAAGAGGAAATAAATGGAGAGAACCAGGAGAAAAAAAAAACGTCCCACTATTCTTCAGCTCCATATCCTGCCAAAGGTACAAGTATTCCTGTTCTAGATAGCAGCTGGATGTAGTACAGGACAGCAGGTTAGATGAAGAACAGGTACAGTGTCCTTGCCTTGAAAATATTTTCTCATTAGATATGCACAGTGTAACCAAATCCAGCCATATCCAAAGAAAGCTAAACTTGAAAAGAAATACCTCACTGGCACTAAGCTTAAAGCATTAATGCTTGGATAAAAATAATCGTAGCTATTTTTTCCTTTTGGCTGCTCTGGCAATTGGGGCTTTTTAGTTTGTTGTTGGTTTGTGGTTTTTAGGTTTTTTGTTTGCTTTTTCCCCAGGAACCACTTTGACATGAATTGTTTCTTGATCACTAATTAATGAATGCTTAGTCAACCTCCTGGGCAAAATTTAACCTTTCAACAACACTGCGTATTTTATAAGTAGATTTAATGGTAAAGATTTCTCTGGTTACTGGATTTGTAGCTTACCCTGAATAAAAAAGTAAATACAGAATCAGGAAAATACCTGTACATAGTCTGTTGGTTCAACATAGCCAAATTGTTTGTCAAGTAATACCTGGTCTCTTCTGTGAGGCACTAATAAAGAGTTTAATATTGAAAATTTGATCTATTTTTATTGCTTCTATAGTTACCGTAGTATGGTGTGATCTTGCTTTGATAAACATAACTCACTGGTTTAAATCAAAGTGCTACTGGTCACAGTTATGACTTAGCTGTTGGCTACAGAGATTCATCAAGCTGGCACTAATGTTGAACAGATGAGATTATGTAGCCCTAGTATCTAGTTTTGGTTGAATGTGTTTTGTTTTTTCAGTGTGCTTAATTGACAACCTTTGATAATCCACTTGTGAGCTGAGGTGTAGTAAAATCTGAGAACGTGAAGAATAATTTGCTTGAAGATCCTCAGATTTTGAATCCCAGGCTTAAGTTCTCTCTTTTAATGCCTGAACCAGATTTTTTTTGCAGATAGACTCATGTGTGTTAATTATCATAGTAAGATTATAAACTTGGTTAGGTCCTTATTATCCAATTCATTATTATATCAGACTAGATGAACTATTAAAACTAAATAACGAAGACAAAGACTGATTTAGGGACTGATTACCACCAAACAGTGGTTTTGCAGCATCTCTTCTCTGAATTAGAGAAACTAATTAGTCTTTTTTGCAGTTTAATTGCCATTTGGAGGAGGAGGCAATGTAAAGGAAGAAACATATTACTTTTATCAACTGGTCTTGAAACGTGTAGTGCTCTGCAATGTTCCTGGTCCTTGAGCTATTGGCCGCAAAACTAGCTCTGTGTACACCTAATTTTGCGCTTCTTCATCAGGTTACCATCGTTTCTTCTCTTCAGTCATGGGAAGAAGAGCAAGTCCGCTCTTGCAGTAGGAGGTGAATTTGATTGGTATGCTCGGTAGAGAACTTGTGTATTCCTCTGTGGATATGGAAAATTTTCCCCTGGTGCTGGTGGCTTAGAGTTTCTTTCAGGAAGCAACAGGAAATTGGAAATCCCCTGAAAAATATTGCATATTTAAACACAGGGATTTTCTCTCTCCAAGTTCACATGGATAAATTTTTTATGGGAGTGAAAATTCTGTATCATTACATAGACATTTTTTTTTGCCTCCTATCAGCTTTTTTTTTTGTGCCTCAACTATTTATGGGCTCTTACTTTTTATTGTATGCATTTATATGAAAAAGCTCTTAATCAAACCATTTTTGTTATTAGAGCATCGAGAAATGGGCTCAGCCCCTGGCTCTGCCACAAGCTCCCCATTCGGCCTCGCGTCACGCAGCATCTCCCTTGTCACCTGGTCCCCCAGCCACGCCGCGGCCGCTCGGTCCCTGACCGGGCAGCTGCGAGGGCAGAAATTCAGGGCAGGGCCACAGAACCCTCGTAAAGGACGGGGCTCTGTGGAGGCCCCAGGAAGAACGACAACCCCAGAAATAAAACAGGTCTTTTGCTAAAACACTGGTGCAACTCAGGCCAGCTTGGCAAGGGCTGATCCCATCCCCCCCTGTGTCGGGAACGTCACCCCCCACGGTGCCGGGACCACGGAGCTGAGCTGCTGCGGAGCCAACCTGCCCCGAGGATGCAGCCGTGGCGGAGAAAGGGGTCAGGGCTCACATGGCTTGGAAACGGTACCGATGCAGCAAACGAGCAGCAACGGATCTGGCAGCGACGCCAAAACCGAGCGAGCGCAGCAG